TCCAAATCAGACGACAGACGTTGCCTAGCAACACGCCCCCTTTCCTCGGATTTCTCCTCTCTGACGTCGGACAAGCGCGAGGACACCGAGCAAGAAATCCGTTTCGGAATTCAAGATGGCCGTGCCCAGTGACTTGTAAGAATGAATTGTTTTCATTGTTTTTGAACTGCTTTGGTATTTTAAATGATGATTATAATCACTCGTATTACTGCGTCCCCTGTGGGTATGGGATTCGGTTGTTGTGAGTGCAATTACTAACGTTGCTAGCGTTGCTAACAGAAGATTAACATGAAAAACATTAAATAAAGTGAACATTTTCAAGTTTAAATGGCTGCGTTTTGATAAGGTATAGTCATAATATATATTTTTTTTAAATGTAAGTGCCTGGTACTCGGCCAGTGCTATCATGACAACAGCTTTCTCCGATTCGGACACGCAAAACATAATTGAACGCTTGAAGTGTGGACGTGACGTCAAATCCGAGGTCCGAGTCGGTTCGTTGGGTATAATAGAACGCACCATAAGTTCATAAAAATCGTCGACAAAATCCTCAATTGATCGGTTACCTTGACTGAGGCGGAAGAGACTGATAAGTGGGTCCATGGTGGATCTCGGTTCTTCCTTGGCTGCTGGATCTGAAGTGGCGAAGTCTTCTGTAATGAACTGCTCTAAGGCTTGGAGATGAAGATCCAAATGCAGCTTTATTTAAGAGTAGTCATACAGGTAGGGTCGAGAATCAGCAAACAGGACAATGGAGAATACACAGTGGGAATCCAAGAAACAGGCAGAGGTCAGGGCAGGCAGCAATAATCAGAATCCAAGAACAATCCAAAATCAAAAACCAGAAAACAAACACGGAAACCGCTCACAAATGCAGACACACAGTACAACAAGACTTCACAGTGAGTTAATGAATGAACATGGTATATACTGTATAGACAGACTAACAGGATGAGACACAGGTGAATGCAATCAGTGAATGAGGTACAGGTGAATGTGATCAGTGATAATGAGTCCAGGCAGTGAGTTCTGGGAAATGCAGTTGTGAATGAAACATGAACATCTGGTGTGGAGTGCCCTCTGGTGACTCTCAAGGGCACTCCACCTGGTGACCGTTACACTTACTCAATCAAACAAAAAAAGCACATATTTTACAGGATCTGGGACTCCTTCCTTCATTTTCAAGAACAGAATGGAATGACTTTTGAGTAATACTAATAATGTGATCTTTTTTTATGGGTGTGAATATACCTTTTTGGCTCTTTTGTTGGGATAGGGAGGGTGTGTTTTCTTCCTTTTTATGAAAATCCTGTATTGTACATGTACTGTAAAATAAAAAAAAATAAAAAAATATGTTCAGAAAAAAAAATTATCTGCAAGTGCAGTTTAAAAAAAAGATTTTAAGTACAATACAAGTGCAAATTTAAAGGGGTGGTTGATTGCGATTTCACTTTTTTCATTTTAAATAGTGTGTAATGTTGCTGTTGGTGCATGAACAGTATCTGCAAAGTTGCAGCGCTGAATGTTCAATGTAAGCAGAGATATCGTCTTTTTTAAAAATCAAGTTTAATGCCTACAAAAATGACTCGAATGGGACTACAAAGGGTTTTATATGTAACTAACCCATACATTTACATCAACCCTCCCTCTGGAATATGCAAAAAAGGGCATGACTATATTTCTGCGGCTCATCGAAAGTGCTTTATGTTCATCCAGCTGTCAGGTCTTCTGTGTTCGGCCTTCCCACGGACGTTGTAGTTCGTCAACAATGGATACAATTTATGTTTGATTACGTACCTGAAAATGACAATCATAATTTAGATCTCTGTGCTGTGCATCTTACGAAAGACAGCTTCCAGAATCTCCACGAATTCAATGCCAAATTCAACAAGAAACTGTTACTAAAACATGAAGCAGTTCCAACTTTAAAACCAGAGGCAGCAGTTGTTGGGCCACAACCTGTAAGTAGGCTAGGCTAATTTCAGACGTAATGTTTTAGTTTCATCAAATGCCAGCACTGGCTTTATAGCCACTAGGCTACTAGTTATGCTATTTCGTGTCTACGACAAACGCTTACAAACATTATGGACCTGAATTTTGTATATGTACTAATGTTGTAAATTTATTTTTCATGTATATACTTTATATGTATAGAAATTTATATATACTTTATATATGCTTCATGGTGTTATTTTTTGATTTGATCAAGAACGTAAACCAGTGCCAATGCTGTTTGTGTATATAGTATCCAGTCAGTTCGATGCTATTTTGTGTAAGACAAACCTGTATAAAGTAAAAAAAAATATATACAGGCAAATTACTATTCAGAAACGTTTTGTAAGAGCTGTGTGTTGAGGTTCTGCTTGCCTCTCTTCATCGCCTCTTTCTGGGTCTGAAATGCAAATTCGCCCGTAAAGGTAATGGGCGTGAATTTTCCGGACCGTGCACTACAGTTTAGCCAATCACAACACACTGGCCCAAATTAACCAATCTCATCCCACTGCCTGTTTCTGGGGGAGCGGTTTCATAGACTCAGGAAGTCAACCGGTCGTTCAAATGGCAAGAGGAGAAAGCGGCTTACAATAAAGGTGAAATTTATGAAAAATATGACTTTTAAAAAAGAAAAACCATGAATAAATGTAATATTGCACCCCATAAACGCAATCATGCAAAGAAAAAAGCAGTAAACCACCCCTTTAATACAATTAAGAGCAAATCTTTTACAAAATGGAATGCCTTTTAAATTACTGATATCGACTGTGTGACAACTGGCCCCGGTATCTCTTACATAAAGCAAAAAGTGTTTTTTTTTTAACTGTAATATGTGGATATTAAATTAACACTTAGGCTACATAACATTTTTTTTTCTTAGCTTTAATCATTATTTCCGATTAATAAACACTTTCTCCCAGACTGTTACATGTATGCTCTGTGTCGTGTTTCCCTGTTTTCCTAGTTTTCCCCTTTCACCTGTGTCCTCTTCATTAAGTTCCTTTGTTTGCTCTGTGTATTTAGACCCTGTGTTCTCCCGCATTCTTTGTCTGTTCTCGTTGGGATAGTTCACTTTGAAATTAATTTTTGATATGTTTTAGCTTACCTCAAGGGCATCCAAGATGTAGGTGTCTTTGTTTCCACAATTTTTTCAATTTTGACATTTTTCGGTCAAACCGTTGTTGTCTGCCGGTCATATAATGCAGGTATAGGGGGTCCACCTCAAAGAGCATGCACAGAGAAAATTAAACATGATTTAATTACTCGTAAATGTAAGTACACATTGATGGCCTAATACACGAAACGAGCGGTTTGTGTGAGAAAACAAACAGTATTTGTATCGTTTTTACCTCATGTATCCACAGCCATGTCCAACTGATCTGAATCAGTTGTTCAATGTCCAACTGAACCGAACTGAACCATGTCCAACGTTCTGCCGGAAGTGATCGCTTGCGCGTTGATGTCACTCATTATTTACACAGAGATTTCGGAAGTTTTACCTTTCACTAACATATTTAGATATACCGAAATCGACTTCCGTTGCAATTTCATGTATATCTAAATATGTTTAGATATTCACAGTGAAAGTTAAAACTTCCGAAATCTCTGTGTAAACAATGAGTGACGTCGACGAGCAAGCAATCACCTCCGGCGGAACGTTGGACATTATTCAGTTGGTCATTGCACAACTGATTCAGATCACTTGGACGTGACTGTGATTACACGAGGTAAAAACGATATAAATACTGTTCGTTTTCTCACACAAACTTTCTTCACACTCGTTTTGTGTCTTAGGCCATCAATGTGCACTTACATTTACGAGTCATTAAATCATGTTTAATTTTGACTTTTCTGTGCATGCTCTTTGAGGTGGGCTCCATAGACCTCCACTATATGACTGACAGACAACAACGTTTTAACCGAAAAATGTCAAAATTGAAAATACTGTGGAAACAAAGACACTTACATTTGGATGCCCTTGAGGTAAGCTAAAACATATCAAAAATTTATTTCAAAGTGAACTATCCCTTTAAGTGTGGTTTTCTCCTGGTTCTTGACTTAGTCATTAAAGACTAACTAGATCATCATCCTCCCTTCTTCTTTGTGCTATTTCCACTACTATGTTACGTGACAGACATGTGTTTGCTAAATAACACATACAATTAAAAAAAAAAATTATTGAAGGCTAAAGATATCAAGCTTTTTTTGCTGTTACATAAAATGTAAGTTACAATTTGCAAGAGATGTTTCCTATCTCAAAAACATCAAGTATCCAGACAGGGATTTGTGTCTCATTTGTAGATGTGGATAATTTAAATTTTAGATAAAGACCATGGGAGACAGTTTAGTGAAGAGCTGTGGCATACAAATGGGAATTAATCCATCTACAGTCTTAAATGACGCTATTTTATGTGAATAAATCTTTAATGAGACACTGAATAGATGAAAATATTTTGTAGCAGCTATTTTTTTGTTTGACAACACAAGGCTAAGAAATATAATGTACTATTCTGAATATACAATAAATTTATAAAAAAAAAAACCACATTGATTTAACATTTGAAAATAATAAGAAATAATGTCTAAAGTAAATTATAAATAATTATTAGAGCTACACAAGCCTCCACGAATGGCCTTTGTATTTAATTTTCACATTTTTAGTTGTCCAACACACTGATATGGCAGAGCTCAAATAAAAAACAGCATAATCATGCCAGCATCTTACTGAGATCTATTGAATCATCCATGAATGTTCCATTTCGGAGCTGCATTTATGCCAGTATTAAATGAAAGCAAGTGGCCAGGGTCGCATTTCTGATTGCAAATGCAGTGCACTGAAAATGGGGGAAAGGATTCCTAAGTGGCTCAAAAATTTGTACACTTGCACAAACATTAACACCTAAAATAGGCCCATGCATCACACTCACATCTACATTTGAGAAATGTTCCATTGAAAGAATCTCTATCTTGCTTTTTTCAACAGTCAAGTCAGGAATGTAAGCACAACATAAGTTCAGGGCTTTAATGGATGTACAAATACCAACATACAGAAGAAAACATACATACAGCTATCAGCATTTATATATATACACTCATACTAAGATTACAACTAAAGTTATATTGCTGGCTTAATGTAAATCAAGCTTTTTTGACAGCATTTTTGGCATAATATTTATAAATTACTTTCCACACTTTTCTAGTTTTCCTTTAAAAAAAGAAGGAAAGAAAAAATAATCAAAGTTACAGGGAAGCTCTTCCAATGAAAGTGAATAGAGCCCAATTTTGGAGGATTTAGATGCATATGTGAATTGTGAAGGTTGTATTTTTTTTTAAAGCACTAACATTAATTCTTGTTTTAAAGAGGCTACATGCGTTTTCTTGAAATTTAAACTCGTGACTGACACTTGTGGCCAAAAATCAGAACTGCTCTTCCTTTCTGCTCGCTCTCGCAGCGCTCGCTCGTACTTGCACACTTTAAAAGTCATCTGCTGCAAGGAGGTCAACATTATGTTTACAGAGGTAAGAACAGTTAAATACATATATTGTTTGAGATAAGTGTTCTGTTTGCGAGTGTAGGCTACTTGCTGACTAGCAGTGGTGGGCTGGCAGAGTGATCTGAGGGTTTTCTCCGACGTTCTGGGCGGTAACCCGGATGAGCGGCCATTATGGAGGCGCTCGGATGTAAACAACAGCATCGACTGCACTGTTAATGTACAACTGAACACATTGTTACGCTAAAAAAATCCGTGGTAGATGCGAACTCATATAGAGAAGGATCTTATTCATTTACATAAAGATGGGCATCGGCCAGCTTTTTGACGCGCTGCATTTTTTCAAATGTAGCGCCGCCTGGATGCTTTGCGGAAAATACGTAACATGAACGCACTTGACGTCACATCCGCAGACAGTGCGGGAAAAGTCCGACCCGACAGAAAATAGGAAAATTAGGATACAGGCTTATAGGTGCACCCACTGTGAGCGGACAAGGTGTCAGTATGCTCATCAGGAGATGTTTGAGTCATAAATGGTAAAATAAAAAGGCTATTGTTATGTTTATTTTGGGGGAAAAGCTGCATATAGCCTCTTTAAATGTGTGTATTATGTTGTACTTGTCATTTTTGCCGTCATTTTAGGGTCTTAGGTGTTATGCTGTCATTGCAACAAAGTTGTACAATTGGATATAAATTTAAATTGGATATAAATTCAAATTAAAATTTGAAGTCTTTTTCTGTATTTTAAAATGTATTTATTTTAGCTTTTTCTCTTTCTTCACACGCCCTTGGAAATCCGTTCTTTGTCCATCTCAACAGATGAACATACACATTATGTATCCTTTATTCAACCCTCTCCTCAAGCCCCTCTGTCTACGCACTTATATTTGTATTCAATAAGTCAAAGAACATCAGAGAAGGAAGTCCATTCCTCCTTCTTTGTACCCAATAACCTTTATTTCACATCACTTTCAACCACTTAAGGACTTATTCAGCAGTGCTTAATTCAAAAGCTGTATTTTCACATTGCAACCTCTGATCAACTGCTACTATAGTTATAGATAGTAGATTTTCCCCTGCCTCTTTTGTACCTTGATTTTCAGGTCTGGGTGCTTGAATCTACCCTGAACTTGCAACACTATAAGCTTTTGTCACAATCTTGCATCCAAACATTCTAAACTTTTATACCTGGGACTTCTCAGTCCATTGGCATAGCCTAGTATATCTGGTTATGTCAGTTCCCTTGATCACCTGCCTGCCTCCTATAGGCTTCATTGAGCAGCTGTATCTCTTCCTGGTAACCTCCAGTCTCCTGGTGCTGTCTCCGGCTGTTCTGTCTGTGCGCTTCTACCGTATCCGGAATGTGAATGTTGATGTTGTCTGTGTCCGGGGTACTCGTGGGGATCAACAGCGAGTATGAGGCTGTTTCGCCAAGGTCACATGACACAAAGCGGTTCTCACGACGAGAGTAGCGCAGAGAAGGCGAACGTGCATGTGTGGATGACTGGCTGATATTGGAGACAATAGAGACGCTGTCCATGGCCTCTTCATTGTCACAGATCTCCAAAACTTCCAGATGGATTTTTACATTTGTGTCTCCAACTCCCCCACCCCCAGTGCTGGAGTTTGGCTCTTCTGCACTAGGTTCATGACCCACCGATTTGGAACGGTACACCTCAACTTTCTTCGCATTGTTGGAGGAGATCTTTAGGCCATCGCTGCTGACTTCATAGGTGGAGAGGGACAGTGTTTTGCCCGTGGGGGCATGGAGGGAAACGGTGCCCTGGAAGGCACATAATGGAATGGCTAACCCAGCTGTGGATCTCTGTTCAGAAATAAAAAGACAAATATACATGCTGTCAACTCAAGTCAAACAATGTGATGCACAAAAAAGGAAACTTAAGTTGAAAGGCTGCTTTAAAATGTGTAATAATTTTAATATTGAAATAGTTACAGTGACGTACAACACAGAAGCTTTGCGCAGTTGTGCTATGTGAAATCTCAATGCCCACAGAGAAGGAAATTAAAGTTTGTTTGTTTTTATTGAGCACAAAAAGTATTCTCGTCACTTGATAAACTTAAGATTGAGCCACTGTAGTCACTTGAACAATGTCTTTAACTTTTCTGTAATTAGTAATTATGAGTAATTACTGACTGAATTTTCAGTTGGGGGTGAACTATCCCTTTAATTGGACCAGTGATAAATCTCCATCTCTTAAAGGTTGGCATAAGGTTATTTTTGAGTTGAATCACTGGAGCTATCTGGATTATTTGAAAACTCACCGAAAAGGCCAGATATATCAAATACTCGAAACCATGATCAGCAATGTAGCTACTGGCTGACAGTGCACCGTAGTGACATCATATATATATAAAACACCACACAGGAAACAGCCAAACGACTAAAATGACAAAGTTATTATAATCAATAAAATGTGTACTATTTGCAACATGTTTCCCAATCATTTCCATTATTTCACAACTTCTCGTATTTGTACAGGCTTTTAGTTGTAAACACGTGAAGCAGATGACAGCATTAATTCAAGTTTCTTCACTGTGACTATTTTTTACATGGCAGCATTAAAGTTTCTTATGGGTCATAAAACATTTTTCTAATGGCACAGCAGGCAGCATTTTTTTACTGTTATCTGCACCTCCTGCGCTTCATCAAGGCGGGGGTTTGACTAGTCGAGACTGTTTTCCAAGATGGCTCCTGCCTGTATACACAAAGTGGACTGTCTTTATAAAATATCTTCTTATCAAACGGTCTGTACACTTACACAGTGCTTCAGTTTGCATTTAGGGACCCTCATTATGTTACTGTGTTAGTGTGGGGCTATTTTGAGCCTTGTTAGTGGTATTAACTATCGATTTCTTTTTACTTATTAAATGCCCCCATTACTAGCGTTATACGCTAAACAGTTTTTAGAGGTAAAACTCTTTACATTCAATTATCATGAAAACAAATCTCAGAGAACAGTTGACTACGTACCAATGTTTTATTAGACCAAAGGTTCATTTAGCGCCGGAGTTCTCCTCTAACAGAAATGGCAATATACGATCGATGCCACCCTGGAAAACATCTCGGGTTATGACTATAACCCTGGTTCCCTGAGAAGGGAACGAGACACTGCGTCGAGAATCGACACTTTGGGGGACGCTCCCTAAGCGTGTGCCTCTGAAGTATGAATGAAACTAATCCAATCCTGATTGGTGTTGCGTCGTGACGTAACATGTGACGGCATACCCGGAAGTATAAAAGTGACGCTGTCACAACACACACTAGCCTCGCAATGAAGAAAGATGCTCAAAGGCCTAAAAGGGGGCGTGGCAAAACGACGCAGTGTCTCGTTCCCACCCTAGGCATCTTCCCATAGCCCATGTCTCGAGCCCCCAAAACATTGCTGTAATTGACGACACTGGGACTCGAGACACGGGACAAGTGCGGCTTTTCCCACGATCTCGCGACCTCCTTGTGGAGATCTGGGAAAAACGGCAAACCCCGGCGTTGAGGCTGTGACCTGCGCTGCAGGAAACGCTCATCAAGTTTGCTTCTAACTTGTGCTTCCTGCTCATTCTGTGGCCAGCTGATGTTAAGTCTGGCCACAGCGCGAGTCACAACCTCCACCAGCTCCTCATAACTCTGGCCTTGTGCTGGCGCGCCGAACTCACGGTCGTTCATATCAATGCTGACCACGTCCACTTCCTCAGAAGCAGACAATTCAAGCATTGGGACCTGATCGCGGGCAGGAGAAACCGCAACGCGGGCTCCCGCACCACTCTCAGAGGCTGCAGGATCCACAGATGGAGAACGAGAAAATGCCTCAGCATTCTCATCCTCCTCTGCGAGATCCCGCTGCGAACCCCAAGATTTCAGTCGCCAGAACCCTGGGGAACGCGAGCCTGACCATGCTCATCAAAGCACGCCAGCCGGGAGCGCAGCACCCTAATGGGCATGGAATCACAATCTGCACAGGCAGCCCCCTCGAGAGCTGCCCGTGCATGCTGCACTCCCAAACAATTCACACACAGAGAGTGTGTATCCCCACCTGTGAGAAAACGAGGACAGGGATGCACACACCTCTTAAATTGTTCACTGGCCATTTCACTTGCTTTTTCAATAGACAATACAACACCAAATAGACAGACAGTTTCACATATAGCGCTTGCTGAAGAGCGAAAGCTAGTGTGTGTTGTGACAGCGTCACTTTTATACTTCCGGGTATGCCGTCACATGTTACGTCACGACGCAACACCAATCAGGATTGGATTAGTTTGAACGCTTGCTTATCATGGAGATTTCAGTGTAGTTTGCGACAGACGTTTCATAATAGGTAGGGCCTATGAAGGGTTAGGGTTAGCGACGACTTTGCGTGCAGCTGTGCACGAGCGCAAAACCACACAACACCCACCCCGTCGGTGATTGGTAACTTGGAACACTGTTTATTTAGGTTTTAGTGGTTGATGAACCCATTGTTTTTGTGTGCAGATCTCAGATCTAGGCAGCCTACAGAGACACGGTTTTTCAACGCATACTCATCCCAAGGCGTCATATACGACGCTTTTGCCAAAGCATAGACATCCAATGCACATGGCACCCTTTAGCATCTATATAACACGCTTCGGTTATAGGTAGGTTTAGGTCTGGGGTAGGGTTAGGGTTAGACCACTAGGAGGCGCCTTCTGGCCCATATATATCCAGTGTTGTGCAAGTTACTTCCAAACTGTAATACATTAGGTATTACTTGTTACTGTTATTTAAAAGTAATTCATTACCTTACAATATTACTGTCCCAGAATTGTAATGTGTTACATTACTCATGTATTACTTTTGAGTTACTTTCACCAAAATAACTAAGTAGAACTTAACTTTTGGGCTGTAACGATATGCAATATGAAACCGAAATCGAGATTCGCCGCACTCAGATCCACGAACCTACAGAATCGCGACACACCTCTTCCAACTCCCAGCGTTATTCTCCTTACCGTCCATATCCAATGCTGCCTTATCTTTAAATTAGGCTATTAGTATTATTTGAAGTTAACATTATAAAATACGTAGACCTACACCACCAAACTAGTTGAGGATAAATTATTTAAAATTGGGGAAGTCCAGCATTATGGACATGACATTTGCAGTCAAAACTTGAAATAAAAATTCTCAGAAAATACATGTATTGAAACGTATATAGGCTACTTCCTTAAAGGACTCCAAACATTATACAAATATCAGTCTATGTTTTATTTTTAATATTAGGGAAAAGACACACATTCATGCATGACAAAAAAATAGGAGGCAAAATATATTTTTTGTAATTCTGTTAATTACACTGCGCAAATCGGATGAGAAAGGGTTGGCTCTCCAGTCTCCATAGAACCTAAAATATTCATTTTATTTTAGTTTTCGTGTTAGCATTTATGAAGAAAAAACAATGTTACAGACGCGACCGCTCTGAACTGGCACTGAAAGACTGCTTTAAAACTTTCACATAGTCTGTTGCCTTTAAGAAGTAAAAGCAGACAATACACTGTAATACAACTGTAATACAAGCCTCACTGAATATGTAACGAGTAAAATATTACTGAAAATTGATTAGTAATGCCTTACACTACTGCGTTACAGCAAAAAGTAATATGTTACTGTAATGTATTACTTTTGTAATGTGTTACTCCCAACACCATATATATCTGCGTCTCATATTGACGCTAAAGGGTGCCATGTGCGTTGGATGTCTACGCTTTTGCAAAGGCGTTGTATATGACGCTTTGGGATGAGAACGGGCTGGGTTTTTAGATGGCATGCTTATTGGAAGGGCAGCTAGCGGATCGCTAGCAAAAATTAGATGAATGTGATAACTTATGTTTCTGCATTTTTGGGGTCTGAAATCACAGTGAATATAAAATCAGAACTCTCTCTAGATAATACTCTTGACAGGATACTCATAAGGCTTAACAAAGTAAGGTAACATGCAGGTAAGAATCACTATGAACCTTAAATGCACAGTCTATTACAAACAAATCCTGCTTCATTCATGACCATATCCTGGATAAAGGTCTGGATTATATGTGCATTACAGAGACCTGGCACCAACCAAATACATTTTCTTCTTTAAATGAGAGCTGTCCCCAAGGATATAGCTATCTCCAGAAAGCCCGTAGCATAGGGCGTGGTGGCGGCCTGTCAGTTATCTATCGCAGCGATCTGGAGTAATCTCTGCAACCATTACCAGAACTGTCTTCATTTGAATGCCTTGCATTTAAATGCAAGTCCCTTTCCCCTGTGCTGTTTCTCCTCATGTACCGACCACCAAAACCAAACCCACTATTTATCACTGAGATGTCAAATCTACTCACAACATTTTGCACATCCTCTGCTGATCTTATAATTTTAGGTGATATGAACATTCATGTTGACACCCCCTCCTGCCGTTTTGCGGCTGAATTTCTACAACTACTGGACTGTTTCAATTTAAAACAACTTGTTGGTGTTCCCACACACACCAGGGGGCATACCTTGGATCTGGTCATTACTAACTCTGCCCCTCTCACAAACCTGCATGCGTATGACTTGGGTGTGTCTGATCACAAGGCCATTTCTATGGTTTTGCCATCTCCATCCAGCCTCTCCAAGCCTAAGCGGAATATCTGTTTCAGTAAACTAAAAAACATTAACCAAGAACTTTTGGAAGCAGACCTTCAGCATCTTTCCACTCACTTTTCATCAGCCGACGAAGCAGTGGACTACTACAACAGCCATCTGAGCAGCCTCCTGAACCTCCATGCCCCTGTTAAAACAAGAACAGGCTTCGTAAAATGAAGGCAGCA